TTTCGGAATGGGATGTTCCTGGCCACTCTTGAAGGAGTACTATACAAGACAGTATCTGTGCAGTTGTCCTCCAGGGACTGCAACGAAAATTAAATAGTGAGACTACAGACATTTTCAATGCACACTGGTTTACAGTACTCTGCTTTTTGAAATGTATCATTTTTTATGTAGACATTTGACTCCTGACAATATGAAAGTCTCCCTTAAACTTAAGAGCATACAAGTCACTAAATCACTTTCCATGAACGGCTAAATACATGTAAATACAAATAAATGCTACTTCGGTATAAATGTCATACCTTCCAAAGTCATGCATATAAAGCTTGTAATTTTGTTGTTACAAAATGGTACAAATCTACCTTCGCTTGTTTCTTGACGTTTGAAGGATCGTCACATGCATTACGTTTGGTACCTTTCTTTGGTACCACATCTAAATATCTGCATGATAAAGTAACTCAACAAAATCACTCCACACTTCTTCACTTCAAAAAACAAGGAAACACCAAAAAACAACAGGCTAAACTTTCTGCGAGTTAAAAAGGAATTCTATGCCGGGTTATGTATTTTCCAACCACACACTCCCTATTTTATGTTACTCGCAAGATTCAAAATTTGACGCAGAACGCAAACGCCTCGGGGGGGACTCCCACGTAAAAATGATGGGAGTGCTCGTCGGAAATTTTCGGAAAACACCCTAAAAGGTACCAGAATCACGCCAGATGGGCGTGGATACTAAAAACAAAAAATAAAAAAAATTAATTAATTAATAAAATAAAAAATAAATAAATAAATAAAATAAAATAAAAAAATAAACAATTAAATAAAAAAATAAAAATGATCACTAAGAAAATGTAAAAATATGAATTTAGATACAAAGAATCAAAAAGCCTTGCAAATAAAAAAGTCTTAATGGCCTTCTAAAACTTGTTTAAAGATTGGCTGTTTCTGATAGAGCCCGGAAGATCGTTCCATAATTTAGGGGCGGCGGCGTGGAAAGATCGATCGCCGAGCGTGGTGATTGTTTTACTCCTGCGAGGAGCAAGGAGTAAGCCGTCATTGGAATTGAAATCATTTCTTCTGGTGTCTCTAAGGCCGGGGCAAGACCATGTATTGCTTTAAAAGTAATTGAGATAATTTTAAAAACTATGCGATATTTTACAGGCAGCCAGTGTAATGACACAACACTGGTGCATGATCAGAGAAATAACAGTCGACTCGAGGTGTGGACCTTACGATCTGGTCGGACTGGCGGGTGATGATTAGGTCCAGGGTGTGACCATGAATACATACACCATTGAAAATGAAAGGTGTCATCAACATAACAGCAATATAGATTTCAAAAGTAAAATTTATCACGCTTACCCTAAAAACAAGTGCCACAATGCTAGGGCTTTCTAAACCATATTTTACTTTCACTGCAATTAAAAGTGCAATGACACTTGTGCTAAGAAGAAAAGGGATCGCCAAAATCATGGTGATCATAATGGTAATCATAATAGTCATCATAATAGTCAAAGTATCAGTGATAATGACAATAATATTAAAAATAACTAATAATAATAACTATTTTGCTAAAACTAACAAAAATAAAGTTCATATTGATTGGTAAAATTAATGGCTGGGTATATTGGCTTTAGTAAACTACTAAATGATCAGGTTTACCTGCCGTTCTGGGATTCATGGCCTCTGCGTTCAGCGATCCAGAAATAAATATCTGGGCTCTTTGCCACAACATTGGGCATGCTTGAAAAAGTAAATGCAGCGTAGTACTGTACGTAATACAGTATATATCAAATACGCTCGAGTAAAACACATAGGCTGAGAAAAATCAATAAGAAATCAAAAGCAAAGACATGAGAGTTGGCTGACCGAACCAATCTCCTCTTGCTACCAAGAGGACAGCTAAGGGGCAGAAGCACAGCCACTATTACCCGACCATCCTCTGTTCGTTGTCATGTGAACTAAAAGAGAGAAACAGGTCAGTATGATAGTTGCATGAACATGACTGAACTGAAATCGTTTTCAGCTCTGTACCTTGGTGATCAAATGGAGGAACTTATTCTGGTTGACAGATTTGTTTGTAGCTCCTGAGGATTTGATCCCGCAGACTTTATTTTCCCCACCAATCAAAGGGTAGGGTATGAAATGTGGTGAGGTAAAGAAAAGTGAGATTCATGATGGCAATCACATCTCATCTTATGTGGGTTGTTTCTACATACTGACAAACTAGCTAATTACCTCTTCAAAAGTCTGGATTAGAAACGGAATGGCGGTGCCTTTCCCTCTGTCCTCTAGAACATTAGTGCACCTCAGTTGTCCTGCTACGAACAGCTTCATGCATTTCCGAGAAATGACAAGTCATGTCCAAAGTGATTAATTAATACTTATGAAGGTAATCACTCGGTTAAGTACAACTTAGGGTGCTCAGTTTGTTGTGCAATAAACTATTTAAGGTAGACGTATTGTGAACATACCTGTTATTACTCCTGATGTCGAGAAATCATCAGTGACATAGCCATCTGGAAAGACAAAATACTAATTAATACATATTTATTAGTTAACTAAAAACAATAGTCAGCATTCCAATTTATATAATCATTTAACTAAATAATCTTGGCTATTTTATTGGTTAGTTATGATCTTCCAAAGTACAGACACCCGAAGAATCATGTCCTTAGTTAAAAGAATTTCTTTTCATCTTTCTCTGAACAGTAGCATTGCAAAGAGAAGATAACATTGTGCAAGCATTTAAGCAAATTGGTTTTAATTAGGTTAAGATCAAGGTGAGCTTACAAAGGCTGGCCTCTTCCAAGTAGACTATCACTTCTGCAAAAAAAAAAAAAAAGAAATGATAGGAATTATCGTTTGACTACGTAAATGTATCATAAACATGAAGTTATGAAGCCCACTGCTGTTACATTTTTAGTAATTATATTTTATTTTCATTGTGCAATTGTAGATATGATTTGTTTCTTGTTTTCGTTAATGTCTTTAAACTTAACATTTATTGTAAGAAAAAGTGACCAAAAATTTGGAAATAAAAATATTGCAGTTTTAAGTCACCTTTTTATCACCTGCCAGATAAATATCTACTCCAACTTTCTTGCCATCAATTTCAATTAAACCATCATCAATGATCTTATTAGCTTCTAAAAATACATATCTAAATGACTCTTCCAAAGTCTGACGGCTCTCGTGGCCATTTCTTACAGGGACGGTGTGATTTCCTGTAAAAAGAAGCTAATTATAGACGTATTTATTAAACTGACACCTATTCAGAACAATAATATAACCAGTTGCATATGTTTGTGCACCTATCTAACCTTTTGATGACAAAATATCATCCACCTTCTGAAGGATGGTGAAACTCAGAAGTATGAAATTAGTTGTCCTGCTCAAATGTGCCCTATCACCACTTAATTTAACTTTTGCTGTTTCTCCATCCTTTAATGTTCCTTTGCTTATCTCTCATTAAAACTGAGCATCCTTTAATTCTTATAACTATTTTTATTTGCCTGTCTAATTAATTAAAAGCTGGTAATGCAGTTTTGATGTTAATACATATTTCACATTACATAACATTATTTGAACTTACAAGTGTATCATCAAGGATGTCATGATTTGCATCTTACATTTTGTTGTTACACTTTATTTGTTTTTCCGCTATTAGAGATAAATGTAGGGTCCCTTACTAGACTCATGCTCAATTCTACAGGTTAAGGAACCAATGATATTTGTTGTTATCAATTAAAGCAGGAAATGACCATGAGTTTTCTCAACCTTTTCTTGCATTTGCTCTAGGGTGAAGTAAATGTTGCAACCGTAACATTTCCCAGTAATGAGTTAATGTGTGTCAATAGCTGGATGGCATCAACATTAGTTTAGAGAGATTAACATTAGTTGAGAGAGATTATAGTGTGACTTTATAATCTTTTGTTGGGAATAACAGAAGAAAGGTTTAAATATTAATGCCAGGAAAATAAGAATTCTTCTTTGACGTTTGTCGTTCAAGTAACGTAACCGTGTATCTTTTACTTTGAAGCCCATCGACAATGGGGAAACCTGTAACTCTGACTTGTGGGCATTCGGGCTGTCGTCACAGCCACCTGACACACATAGGCATTGAGAATGTCTTCCGGAAACTGTATTCGTAGAACTTTGTTTAGAAGTTTGCTCAGAAGTGACCAAACCGGGGGAGTGTGTCGTGAAATTTTTCTTTCTTGTTCTTGAATGATGCTGTGATACTCGCTTAATAATGCAGTATCCACTTTTAATTTGCGGTGTAGGAACTTAAGATGTGTTTCACACATTTACCGATTGTCTGAGGATGGTTGACAGTCATCTTTCTATGGAAGCCCAACCTCATAGAAGTTATCATTGAACGAAATGTCTGAAAATTGATCTGCGAGTTTGAAGGCTTGTTGGCATTTCAGTGTTTCTTCAATTCCAATGCTTTCTGTCTCCCAAAATCGTTGCATGATTTCTGTAACTTCATCTGTTTCTCTCATAGGCAATTCTCCGATCCGTCGAAATAATTAGCCAATTCCAGGCCTTCCAAATGAACGAAGTTAGTTTGTACTCTTTAGGGCAGCGGGGAACAGATTCCGGGAAAGGTTAATGCCGAAATATCGATTGTTTCATCGTTACCTGAGCCAGGTCGTTTGAGTCGCAAATGAACAAAGTCACAATTTTGAGATTTGTAACGAGCTTCTCCAAAGGTGTTGAGATTTAGCCTTTCGTGTTGAACTGATTTCAGCTTCGGTTGTAGATTTTCAGTGACATAAGTTCTTTGACTTCCTGTATCAAACAGAATCCTGACTGGAGTCGAAATTTTGCCTGTTTCATCGAGTACCACAGCTCGTGCTGTTTGTAAAAGCACAGTTTTGGGTTGTTGTATATTCGCGTTGATCGTAGTCGTTGTTGCGCTCGTTGTCGTACTGCTTGTTTCGCTGCCCGCAGATTCGTTGGTCATTGATACGTTTACCTTTGTGTGAACTTGA